GCTGTACTTGGAAGGTCTGGGTTTCAGAAGTGACCTGTGCCCAAGGGAGGTTCGGTCTGGCTTCACTGAAGAGTAGGGCGGGGGGTTCCAGACTTCCTCTGAGAGCCGCTTGCTTGCAGGTTCACTTCTGGCATTACTATTTGGGGTTGCCAGCCAGAGAGAACTGGTTTGCATCCAGTGCTATAGATTCAGAGCATAGCTTCAGACTTGTACGATTTAGAAGAATTAAAAAAATAATATATATAAAAGTGTACTGTGAAGAACTCTATTTATTCATCACTTTGATTTTCTGAAGCACCTCCTCCTCTTCTCTTGCAGTTCACCATCAATGTGAGCACAGACATGAGGCATCATCGCGTGCGCCTGGTGTTCCAGGACGCCCCAGTTCGCAATGGCAAGAAACCTCGCCTTGACCAAGGAGTGCAGGTTGTGCTGGACCCTGTGCATAGCGTGCGGCTCCTGGATTGGTGGCACCCACAGTACCCCTTCTCTCCAAAAGCTTAGTGCTCTCCTGAGTCTGCAGGAGCCGGCAGGTGACTGAATCTGGCAGGCCGAAGAGAATTTCTAGGAACCAGGAAATCTGATTTTTATTTCTTAAATAAATTCTGCAGTCTCCTTGCAAGTGGTTGAAGCTACTGAGCTAGTCTGTATGTATATAACTTCTGGTCAGTGATGGGCAGAGCTGAGTGTAAAGCAGAAACTATTTGTAAACACACTTTTATGTAAAATTCACATTTTATGATTTGAAAGGAGGTCCCTGGAACTGTTCATTTAAAATCCTTTTGGTGCTAATGAAAGTGGTCCTGTTTTCTGTTCGGGAAGAAGCAGGAGGTTTTGCTTTCCAGCTTGAATATGACCAGAAACAATTTACAAAAAAAAAAAAATCCGTGTTTGTTTTGCTGCAGCGTGATTGCATTCAAACGCAGCGTGTTATTTCGGTGTCTGAGAAGCACGGTAAGCAAAGCAGCAGTGATCAACAATAACACTAATTCACAGTCCAACAGATATGAGTTTAAGGAAAGAAAAAAAGCAGAAATGATCAAACAAAGGCATTATTTCAAAGAGGATTTGTAAGGCAAAAGTCTTTCTTGAATGTAAAGATGCTCCCAAGTTCTCACCCTGATGTTTCTTCTTTGAAAAGAAGATCTAAACTTTTAAAACCAGAAGGTGCTTTTCAGAGAAGATAAACGGAGGGAGGGGATAAACTAAAATAACTGAAGCAGTGATGAAGGACGTGACTCTGTGTCTTTTCTAAGAGCAGTGGAGCAGTGTTGGCCTGTTGACACCGGAAGGCCCAGAAGCGATCGGTGATGTGATTCTTGACTAAACAAATTCATTTCTGTGAGGAAGAAGCAGCCCCGAAATTTTCTGTGGCTTTGGGTTGATGGAGCAGGGAGAGAGGCCCAGAGGCTGGGCCTGTCCGTTGTGTCCAGAACGAGTTGGGCTGGAGATTTAATTCAGCGGGTGAACATCTTGCTGCTGAGAGAGGGGGGTCTCGTGGAGGAGCGGCGGCAGGCAGAGGAGGTACTGGAGTGCAGGTGGGCAGCAGGGGAAGGAGGAACCCTGGCCTGAGTTCTGCTGCCTGTTGATGCTTAGCTCCTCAGTCCTATTTCACATCAGATCTTGTCTCAAGCAGGAGTAACCGAGCGCTTTTCCGTGCGTGATGTTTAGTGAAGCTCCCGGAAGGAGAGGGAGTTCTGCCATCGCGGTTTGAATTTAATATGCAAATGCCCCACGGTCCCTGTGTAGCTGCCTGCAAGGAGTTTCTTGCGTGTGCCTCTGCCGCTCTGTAAATCACCACCAAGGACGTCTACCCCAAACTTGGATCTACGTTAGATGCTCTGTGATGGTGACTTCAAACGAATGTGTTCGGGAGACCTCCTGTCTCACAGTTCCCCTTTTCACTGCCGCTGAATACGCAGTGATGCCAACAGGTCAGCTTTGAAACTAGATCAGTTGAAGCAGAGATACAGGGCAAGAGAAACGTGTCGCAACCGTGATAAGGAAGCTGGTTCCCGGGGTAGTGGAGCCTGGTCCGAGTTGTGATCGCCTTTGTGGTGCCGGAGAGGAAGGGCAGCAAGTTAGCGCTGGAGCTGTGGGTGAAGGCTGCAGCCGCAGCGCTCCGTCCGAGCGGAGCGTTGTGCAACACGTGGCAGTGCCTGTGCAGAAGGAAGCTGCTCCAGGACAACGGATGAGTAAGTCGCCTTTTTTGAGGTGCGGTTAAATACCGCTGAACTGTGACAAGTCGTCAGTGGTCGTGTGGTGGACTTCCTCCACGGGAGTTTAGTAAGTGAAGCATTGTCAGCTTGTGCGGATATCTGTTGTCTTGGGCGGGAGCTCTCTGGGCTGGCGTACGCCCTCCTAGGGAGACGGCTATTCAGTCAGAGCCTGTTTTCTGCAGAATCCAAGGCGCTTTGAAGAGGATGCTTCAAGGCGTCTTCCACTACAGACCCTGAAAACTCCTCTGCTTTACGCGATGATGCCAGTGCCGTGTGCCTGGTGATTGCTGCTTGTGCAAGATGTGGACGTGGAGGGTGGGAGCAGAGATGTTCGGTCCCGGCTCGGGGCTGGGTGGCAGGAGGACGGAGCAGGCTGGTGTCTGCCTAAGGCTCTGCCCTCACCTGCGGAGACCTGACCCAGTTGAGTGGGGACTGGGAACGGTGGCCTGCGCCTTGCTCTCGCTTCTGTGAAGAAATACAGAACAAATCTTAGGGCTGCGTGTTTCTGACATCTGTGAAAGCAGGAACAGGTTCTAATCGGGCGGATGGCGTTGTCCAGGATATGCTTAATGTTCTGGGGCAGAGGGACTCTGGCAGCACCCGCTCCAGATGGCGAATCGTTTTCAGCCCCGTTACTCTCCCTGGGCAGCTCGAGTGGAGCGGGCGGCACAGGCTGTCACGCCGGGAAGCAGAGGGATGGGGTGTTTCCAGCTGCCAGCAGACCTGCTGGTTTCAAACAAGGATATTTAAATAGGGACAGATGCCCCTAACCCAGAGGTGCCTCTCCTACACCAGCCTTTTTCAAGGCTGAAACGTATAAAATGTAGAAGAACGATTTTCAATTTTTCCCTTTGCAAGTAGCAAACCTTACAATGACGCAAGTGACGGAGCCGTGCTGATGAGCAGCGCTGGCAGGGATCGGGGACCTGCTGCGATCTGCGCGGGGAGGCCGGCGAGGCGGCCGGGATGCTGCAGAGGTTGGGCTCTGCTGCCCCGCGTCTGGAGCTGCAGGGTGCCAGCTTTTCCCCTTCCTCCCTTACCCGGAGCACAGAAACCCTGCGCGGGATCTGCTCAGCGATGTGAGTGACTCCTGCCAGACCTCAGCCCCAAGCAGAGGGGGTTTCCACCCCGAGCCCAGCCTCTTGAAGGCTGTTTGCCAAAATAATCCTTTTCTGTGTTCTCCAGGGGCGGGATGCGGTGAGGCAGTGATACGACAGGTCTCCACGGTCCCTGCCAGGGCTGTGGGCAGGGCAGGCTGGGGTTTGCTGTAGGATAATCACTCTTTTCTGTAGGATGTGACTCAAAAGGGTCCCTGGTGGTGTGGAAACGGAGCCCCAGATCGGGATCGTGATGGCTGGAGCCCCGCTGCTCTCCCTGCTGCGTGGGGCCCTGTTTTACCTCCACTTTGTCCTGCTCGGGCTCCTGAATAATGGAAGGGCTGTAAGCGGATCCGGCCCGGCTCTCCGGTTTCCCTGGGGAAAACGTGGAGGCTTGGCCACCACCCTGGCCTCACGTTGCCCCTCTCCTTGCTGGGGATCAGGTGTCGGATGGGAGCCGAGCCAGGGCAAGGGCTGGGTGCTCCGGGAGGGTGGCCGGTACCTGCGGTGGGTCCCCTTGTGCCTGTCCCACCCCAGTGCTTGGCTCCAGCCCCAGCTGGGGGGACTGGTCCTCCCCAGCCCCCCAGGCTGCGTCTGTGCCTGCGCCGTCGTGCGCCCGTCTCAAAACGGCCTTTGCACCTGGGGCTTCTCTCTCTTCTCCGGTTTATTCCAAGAACAAGCCAAAACAGAATATTTCAGTTGGAAGGGACACAAATGTGCCTTTTAGCCCCATTTAAGCCACCTCTCTATTCCCCAGGCAAAAGAATAATAATAATTATTATTTATTATTTATTATTCAATGAGCAGAAGGCGTGAACAGCAGGTTTGGGCCAGAGGGAGGTTTGTGTGCGGCTCTGGGTGCCAGGGCCCCGGCTGTGCCTGGGCGCTGAGGCTGTGCTGTGGCCCTTGCAGCGGGGGACGGGTGGGGGCCCTTTTCCAGCACCCCAGCCAGCATTTGGGATTTTCCCCGTAGCACAGGGGGTGACGGGATGGGCTGGCTCAGGCTGGGCTTGTGGGACTTGCTTGGAGGGCAAGAGGACCCAGGACCGCATCGCGGTGGGCGCTGGGGGCTGCATCCTGGCTGTGGATTCCTTTTCTGCTCCGGGCAGGCTCATGGATGTGCCTGGAGAGGGTCAAATCCTGCCCTAGCTCTGCACCCTGAGGTGGCATGTGGGGACCAAAGGAGGATCCTGGGGGCTCTGCTGCACCCGTAGCAGTGCTGCGTGTTCCCCGAAGGGCACGTTTCTATGGTGGGGTGCCCGTTGCGCCCACGAGCGTTGGGGACCCCAGGGCTGCGCTGGGCACGGTGGCCCCCCACTCTCCTCTTTCTCCCCACGAGGGCAGGAAGGACCAAGCCCCGGTTCCTTCCTGCACAGGGGTGGGGGTCACGGGGCATCTGCGGCAAGAAAAGCCCTCCCCATCCTGCAGCTGCTGCTGGTTGTTTCGCCATCCCATGTGAGTCACCGAGCCCCACATCCCCTCCTTACCATGTGCGATTCAACAGGAAATCTGCTGGGTTCCACCGTCCCGGAGCCCGTGGGGACAGAGCCACTGGCATCCTGTGATGGGAATGTAAGGATTTAAAAATCAAACGGTGTGGGAAGAGCGAAAGCCAGCGGATCTGGGAGCCTGCGGACGTCTCTTCCTCTCCGTCTCGGCGCCATCGCCTGCTTCCTACCCTACGTTACCTCTCCATGGCCACCTTTGTCCTCGCAGATGTGACCGAGGTCAGCGGCTCCACCTGAACCCACAGTGAGCAGCTGGGGCTGGAAGGCGTCGCGGGGGATTTGTAGAAGACGGAGCCTGGGAAGAGGCGTCGGGGCCTTTCTGAAGGTAGGAGAGGTCCAGGCCAGCGAGGAGAGGAGGGAAATGGGATCCGTGCTTCAGTGCGGATAAATGGGGAGGATGGGGTGGAGGGAAAGGGAAGGGTCTTTCCCTCTGTTCAGATGGAGAGAGAGGTGGAGTGCCTGGCTCGGAGCTGGGTGCAAGCACTGCCGTTGGGCGACTCGTGGTGGGTGCTCCGGGCTGCCGGGGCTGCGTTGCTGCTGGGGGTCTGGAGGAGGGAATCGGAGGGGGAGAAATGAGGCTGGGGGGGTGGAGGAGCTGGGGACAAGCTGGGCTACGGGAAGGGCCCCACGCGGCCCGCGTTGGCTTGTGGGGATGAAAGTGGCTTTGTCCCCAGCCGGGGCTGCGATGTCCAATGCTCCAGTGAGGAGCTGGGGTGTGCGGGGAAACCAGGGTACCCTCATGGGTGCAACCTGCCTGGGATCCTGGCAGCCAGCTCTGCCCTGCCCGGGGTGCTGGGTGTTCAGTTCTGGCTCAGCAGCCCCGGAGGTTTCCGCTCTCTCAGCACAAGGGCTGGAAAATAATCAGCAGCAAAAAGAATGCGATGGCTCCGTGTCCCCAGGCTCCTGGCTTGGTGCATGCTGCGTGCACCCTTGTGCCACCAAAGTGGCAGGTTTGCACGGGAGTTTGGGGTCCTGGGGCCTGGCGAGAGCCCTCGGGGAAGGTCTGATCCTGCCTGGGGGTCTGGGGCTGCCAGTGGAGGTGGTGGGAGGCAGCCGGTGCCACCGTGGGATGCCCAGTCCAGGGGGGAAGCTGAGGCTGCCCTAACCCCTGCAGCGGGGCTGGGGGCTCTTCGCCCCATCCCACCCGGGGTCCCCACCAGCCCGGCCAGTTCACTGTGCACTGGTTGGCATGGGGCAGAGGATGCCGGCGGATGCTCCTCCTCTGTGGGAGGCAGGCGAGGACTCGGGGTGGGGCTTTGCTGACCAAGAAACCAGAATCCAGCCAGCTCTGGGGAAGCTGCCAGGGCCAAGCACCCTGGTGAGACAGCGAGGCTTCCTGGCTGCTGCCGCCGTGCACCCAACGTGCCGGACTGCCGCGCACCCCGTAAGTCTGTGCCGCCTCGGTGGGTGCATCGGGAGCGGTGCTGGGCACGAGCTGTCTCACTGGTGTCATGGGATGGGGCTGCATGGGCAAGGGGTGCCCTGGGCCAGGGTTGCCTGGGGACCCGGAGGGGGGTGAGGGCAGGGTGGTGGGCAGGGGGTCCCCGTGCTGTCAGCTGTGGGGACTGGACCAGACCCAAGTGTCCCCTTCCCAAGCTGCCTGCAGAGCCCCCCCTGTGCTGCGGGGCTGTAGGACATCTGGGTTGACCTAAAGCTTCGGCTGCAGGAGTCCTGCGCTACTGAAACGCGGCTTTTCCCCTCCTTCCTCCCTGCGGGACAACCCTTGGAGCAGAGACACCCACAGAGCGTGGGGCCGGACCCTCGGCTGGCTCCCAGGGGCCCAGGAGCACCCTGTCCCGTGCAGCCCCGACTGGCCATGATGTGCCCATCGGGGACATTGTGCTGCCACAATTTGCCATGTCCTCTGCCGGAGCAAGCGGCGATTTCTGGCGCTGGGTTGCACCCTGCCCCTGTCTGTCCTGGGGACCCCCACGGGGAGGCGGTGAGGGGCACGGACGATGATGCAGGAGACCTGGCACTTGGCCCCCTGGGGGATGCACAGCCTTTTTCCGTGCCTCGGTTTCCCCCAGCATGGAAAGGTGCTTCTGGCAGTGGGACGGTGAGCCCTGGTTGTTCCCTTCCTCCCCGGGCAAACAGCCCCGCTCTCCCCAGCGCCGGAGGAAGCAGCTGGAGCCGCCTGCGCACGGGGAGCATCCGGCCCTGCCTCGCAGCCTCGCGGGACCGAGGCCGTGTATTTATCCCCTCCGCTGCTGGACTGAGTCACGGCTGCTGCGTCACGCAGCCCGTTTGGCCGGGAGTCTCTTAGCAAAGTGGAGGAATTCATCTGGCTCCGAGTGGGTGGCTCTCAGCAGCCAGCTGCCCTGGCCACCAGCCCAGTGTCCCCATGGGGGGCTGGCTTTTGGGGACATCCCCAGCAGGGTGCTGAGCTGCGGGAAGGTGCATGAGGTGCTGGGGCAGGAGTGGGGACAGGGATGCTCTGTGGAGGCACCCGGAGCAAGAGCAGGCACCGGGAGGATGCTGCATCCCAGTGACGTGCCCACGGTGGCGTGGCCCTGGCTGCGCCCATCCCGCTGGGCTGCTTTGTTTCTCCATGGAGGCAAAAATCCAAAGCCCAATTAGGGGGTAATTAAGGGGCAATGTTCGTTACCTTCTGTTCTGTTAAGCCTGCGACGCAGAGCGATGCCGGAGGGGCGAGGTTCGTGCAAGCCCCCATTCCCCACAGGCTGCCTGCTCCGCACTCCATGGATGAAGCCGCTGCCCGGGGGAGCTGAGCAGCACCTTGTTTTCCATCCAAGAGAGGCCGCTGGCAGCCAGACGCCCTCCCAGCAGCCAGAAAAACCGTTGGCCACCCAGAGTATAAATACGCCCAGCCTGAGACGTGGCCGGCTGCCAAGCCTTGCCGTTCCCAGCTCGCCCCGTGGCCTCAGCGCTGCACCGCAGACAGCAGAGGTCAGGGCTCAGAAATCCACCTCCAGAGTGGCTTCAGGGCGCGATGTCCCCGTGGCCTGGGATGGGTGCCTCGAGCTGCTCCCCGCTAAGCCGGCGAGCTGCCTGTGCCCCCATCGCTGCGGGGCAAGGAGAGGCCGGGGGGCTTTGGGAAGAGCTGGCCACAGGGCTGGGCCACGGCACTGAGCACCCCCAGTTCTCCCTGCTCTCTGCTGTGACCTGGACCGAGATTTTAAGCAGCTCCAGGAGCTCACTGTGCCCCCAAGTGCTTCAAAGAACCAGCGCTAACCAGAGCTCAGCCACCGCCTTGTGCCACCACGGGCGTTCCTGTGTCCCCTTCCCCAACACCCTCTGGGTTCAAGGTCGGGGGAGGCGGCTCCTCTGCTCTCCTTGGCCAAGGTCTCACTAAGGCCATGGCTCAGCCTGAGGCTCCTTGGGAGAGAGCAGCTCGCTCTGTTTTAATTGCTTATCTCTGAGTAACGAGCAGTGTTCCTGGGTGAGGTCGGTATGGCAAGGACGGCACTGGCTGCTGCACCGGGGGGGCCCTGCTGTGCACCGGCCCGTTGAGATGCTGGCAACCCCCCAAAGGACTTTTAGGCAGGGAAATAGGGATTTTCTCCTTAAAATAAGCCCAGCACGTGCTCCAGGGCAGCGGCAACAGAGGTGCTGCACCGGCCTCTGCCGTTTGGGGACCGTGGGTGGGCTGGGAGCATCCGCTGCACGGCGGCAGTTGCTGCAGTGATGTGTTTAAGGAGAAGTCCTGGGTAAAGCCCAGCCTTCGTTCAGGAACTCCGGCAGCTTTCTCGGTGTTTTACCATGCAGCTTGGGAGGGCTTTTCCTCCACGCGTTTGCATTCAAAGACGCTTTGACCCAAACGCACTGTGAGCAGTTTGGACAGGGCCGATTGTGTCTGCCCCGCCAGGCTGGGTGCTCGCTCGCTCTCCGCTTTCCCCTCTTCCCCAGCAGACCCGGTCACATTTATCACGGAAAAACCCCAGGCCCTTTAGCCTCCTGCCACGCCTCTGATACAAAGCAAGATATCTCAAGGGCGGCACAAACTGCGACAAGTTCCTGTGCGGCGCAGCAGGCGCGTCTCCTCTGCCGCTGCCCTGCCTTCCCAGACGCCCTTGCCTAACAAGTCGGAGGCTCTGCAAGTGGAACCGAACAAGAACCAGGACGTGGTTCAGCTAGCGTGGAGGCGTCGCCGAGGTTAAGTCAGCCTATGCTCTGCGTCAAAGCTGCTTCCTGAACGACGGGGTCGTTGTCAGAGGAGGCTCCCTTCTGAGGGGAGCAGAAGGCCCGAAGTGCAGACCGGACCCGCTGCTTAGGGAAGGCTGCTGCCGCCCTGGGGCCCGGGTTAAAGATGTGAAGAGAAAGCTTCCCGCCCTGGTACAGCCCTCGGAGTACTCTCCACTATAGATTTTCCAGGTAGGCAGCAAGAAAGTTGCAACAAGAAGTCCGAGGGCAATCGAGAGAGACTTCAGGGCCTTGGGACGACTGGTTAAGGGAGTGGGAGCACAAGCAGTGTTCTCCTCGATCCTTCCAGGTGCAGGGAATGGTGAGGGAAGACGCAGGAAGAGCCAGCAGAGCGATGCCTGGCTCCGAGCCTGGTGTCGCCGGCAGAATTTCGGGTTCTTCGATCATGGGTTGGTTTACACGACACCAGGGCGGCTGGCGCCAGACGGGGTACCCCTGTCTCAAAGGGGGAAAAGGGTCTTTGAGCAGGAGTTAGCAGGGCTCATTGAAAGAGCTTTAAACTAGATTGGAAGGGGGAAAAGGATAAAACCAGCCTCACTAGAGAGAAACCTGGGCACGGCTCGCCAATGTTTGAGGGGCGGTGTGCTAGGGAGGTCCTTCGCTCTGCCGTTTCAGTGGAGGTAGGGGATGGAGAGCCATGCAGCAGTGAAGATGCAAGGGCTATGGATGCGTTAGAAACCACGGAAGCACCTGAGAATGGTCACATAGGAATTAGGGCTTCTCCCCCCCAAAAAGCGGTGGGGGCAACAGCCCAACTGAAGTGCGTCTACGCCAATGCACGCAGCATGGGCACCAAACAGGAGGAGCTGGAAGCCGTTGTGCACCAGGAAAAAACTATGACACAGTTGCCATCGCGGAAGCATGGTGGGATGACTGACACAACTGGAGTGCTGCGATGGACGGCTCTAAACCCTTCAGAAGGGACGGGCCAGGAAGGAGAGGCAGTGGGTTGTCCTGTACGTTAGGGACTGTTTTGATCATCTAGAGCTTAACGATGGTGACGATAGGGTTGAGCGTTTATGAGTGAGAACCAGGGGGAAGGCCAACAAGGCAGACATTGTGGTGGGAGTCTATAGACGACCCCACCGGGATGAAGAGGCGGGCGAAATATTCTATAAGCAGCTGGGAGGAGTCTCACGATCGCTGGCCCTTGTTCTTCGGAGGGGACTTCAGCTTACCAGATGCCTGCTGGAAATACAACACAGCGGGGAGGAGACGGTCTCGGAGGCTCCTGGAGTGTGCGGAAGAGACCGTCCCAATGCGGTTGGTGAGGGAGCCGGCTGGGGAAGGCGCCCGCTGGACCTCTTGTTTGTGACCAGAGAAGGCCTGGTGGGTGATGTGACGGTTGGAGGCCGTCTTGGGCACAGCGATCATGAACTGATAGTTTGGGATTTTTGGAGAAGCAAGGCGGGGTCAGCAGAACGGCCACCTTGGACTCCCGGAGGCCAGACTTTGGCCTGTTCATGCCTGCTTGACAGAGTCCCTTGGGAGGCAGCCCTGAAGGGCAAAGGAGCCCAGGAAGGGTCGAAGTTCTTCAAGAAGGAGATCTTACAGGCGCAGGAGCAGCCGTCCCCATGTGCCGACGGACGAGCCGGCGGGGGAGAAGGCCGACCTGGCTGAACAGAGACCTTTGGCTGGAACTCGGGAATAAAAGGAGAGTTTACAACCTTTGGAAGGAGGGGCAGGCAACCCAGGAGGACTACAAGGATGTTGTGAGGTTATGCAGGGAGAAAACGAGAAGGGCCAAAGCCCAACTGGAACTTAATCTGCCTACTGCCATAGAATACGATAAAAAATGTTTCTACAAATACATTAGCATCAAAAGGAGGGCTAAGGAGAATCTCCATCCTTTATTGGATGCGGGGGGAAAGACAGTGACAGAGGAGAAGGAAAAGGCTGAGGTACTCAGTGCCTTCCTTGCCTCAGTCTTTAATAGTCAGACCAGTTGTTCTCGGGGTACCCAGCCCCCTGAGCTGGAAGACAGGGACGGGGAGCAGGAGGAAGCCCCCATAATCCAAGGGGAAATGGTCAGCGACCTGCTGCACCACGTAGACACAGACAGGTCTCTGGGGCCGGGTGGGATCCACCCAAGGGCACTGGGGGAGCTGGTGGAGGGGCTCACCAAGGCACTCTCCATCATC